AGTCAATCTGAGCCTCAGTTTTTTGTCACATAGGTACAGATTTTAATAGTACTTAGTTTACATGGTTGCTCTGAGAATCAAATAACATAATTTATGTGAAAGCACTTACGTGTAACACCTTAAAATTACCCAAGCCATTTAGGAACTTACATGTTATGTTTTATAGCAGCATCATACATTTTGCAGCATAATCTAGAGAGCAGGAAATTGTTAACTGGAGAAGGAGGGGATATCTGGCTCAGCTGGTGTCATACTCTCAGCTATTACTGACTTGTAGAGGGACCTGCAGGATGTTATTCTACCACTCTAATGGAGAGAACATCTTCTGGGGCTGTTAACATCTACCCCCTCATAAAGTTGTAAGAAAAGTCAAGTAATGTGTGTGAAGGTCCCTGAGAGCTTTAAAATTCTGCTTGACACCAAAACTTTTTAGTTGTTGCTAAAGCCACAGAGGTTCTGTGAATGCAGTGTGTCCCCAGTAGGCAGTCCCCCCTAGACAGCCTCACAGTCCAAGATGGCACCAGGGCTGCATCCCTGGAACTGGAGAGAAAGGCTGGCAGGTGGTCGTGAAGGCCCAGCTCCAACTCTACTTCTCTGGGTGGAGAGCAGACTCTCCAGCCAGTGAAGGCTCTGCATGACCCGAGCTGAGCACCTTCCGTTCTTGTCACGGAACCTTTCCCATTTTCTGTTCCAGTCTTGATTTTCCCCTTTCAGAGGGCTTACAATTTCCAGTACCCCTTCTGCTTTCCTTGCCAGTAGCCACCTTCCCCTACCCCTGCTCGCCCCTTCCTTCCCTGCTGTCTGCCCTCTCACCAAGCACCCAGGCTTGGTTTTCTGATCCCCCCCCCCCCCGCACTGTACTCACCTGAAGGAAGGTGTATGCTAGAGCAGAGGCCGAGAGAACGCGAGAGACAGGTGGGAACCGTGTTTCAAACAAGTGTCCTGGTAACAGCATCCACGGTCCTCTTTGCAGCCTAGAAGAAGCCTGGTTAGAATAAAAAAAGATTCAGCAGAATAAATGGGTTCTTGCTGAGCCCCCAATACAGAGGTCACTATTCAGAATTGGGGTGGCTCAGCCCCAAACTTTGGGCAGACCCTCTGCATCTACTAACCTAACAGTATCTTTCTTCCTCTTTTTTTTTTCTCACTGTCAGTCATGGTAGAGTGTCAGTGCTGGTCCACAAGAAGGAGCTGAAAAGTGATGCTTTAGAGAGCAGGCATCCAAAAATGGAGACAAATATATGCATTCACTATTCCCCAACCCATGGGATTGTAAAGGACACTGCCGCCTCTTCTGTTCCTCCACTTGCTGTCTGGTTTTTCAGCCTCCAGAGTTCAGTTGCTGCCTGCTAAGAAATCCTCTGTCTATGCTATTCGCTGACATTTTATTCATGGTGCCACTTCTTTCCGTTAGCATTTGTAGCTGAGACTAGACCCTTAACTCTGAATTGCATAGCTGCAGCATAATCACTTGCTTTATTGATTACCTGAAACAATTTTTTCACAATCTTGTGTTGGCTTCCCCATGCCATGGAAGTCATTTTTCAGTTGATTTCATTTATCGCCACTTCCTTTGTGCTGAAGGGACCAGTGGAATTTTTCTTGAAATGATCACATACTCTGTGCAAAGTGCTTTATCGCTCTAATTTTCAAAATACCTTCACAAGACAGGTGCTTAACTGTATTATTCTCAAGTTACAGATAAGGAAACTGAGGCTTAAAGAGGCGAAGTAACATGCCCAGGTCATTCAGCCAAGGAAATGGAGTTCATATCTGACTCCTGCACCTGTATGGCCCCAAAATGGATCATTTTAAAGTACAGGGGCTTATACGAGCTTCCCCATCCTGTGTCTAATTCTACTGTCTGCTTAGCACTTTGTGTCCCTTTCTAACGAATCAGACTTACCATTCCTGGCCATAGGCTCAGACCTGGAAAGCCATCCACTACCACTCGTCTTAACTTCACTCCTCCATACTGAGAGCAATAATCAACAGACCACATCCGTTTCATGTATAATGTTGAAAGCCCTTTGGGGATCACTATAAGTAATATGCAGGAAAATAAAAGGAAAGAATCACTCATTTCTAGTGAGTGATATAGTTTCACATCCATACATAAAGAAATGAGTTGTTTATACCTGACTAATCCGAAAATGCACCCTGTTTAGTAAGACAGTTCCTGGAATGCCTATGCTCCACCAGCACAGCACCTGAATGATTTTAGAGCACTTTCCTTTATGGAGCTCCCAAGTGCTTTGCAAACATTTTTACTCGTTAACTATCACGCCATTTTTCTGTGGCAGGATACTTTGTCCTATTTGAAATGTGGGGGTGCTGATGCATTGAGTGACTTAAGCAGGTTGCCCTCAGGTCATGTGTTGACAAGACCTGGACCAGAGTCCTCTGGGGCATGGCCCATGGTGGGCAGAAGGCCACTAAATCTGCAAAGGGACGTGGCAAGTGCTTGGTCCAACTCCTCACTTAGAGAAGGGGAAACAAACCCAGAGAGATGAAAACACTTAGAAAACCCAGGGTCACACGGATAATTAATGGCCAAACCAATACTAGGTACATACAAACAACATATCAAGACATATATATGCTATAGAGGGAAAGATGACAACTGTGAAGTATCAACTTACAGTCAGATTAGAAGGGTGTGAAAGTAAAAAGCCATCCTCACTGACCTTGCCTAGAGGAAAAATACACTATAAGAAGGTGAAAGTTTCAAACAGCAGGAGAATTTTTAACACAGACAAAGTTTCAACTTCCTAGCAGCCAAAATACCATCTGGATTAAGAAGGCACACTTCCCATTAGAGGTGACAGGTGGACATATTTTAAAAGATAGTCGGCCGGCCTAGCATAGCCTTTAGAAAGTGTACTGAAAGCACAAGGATGGTAAATACCAGCTTGAGTTCCAAGCATGTTTACAGCTGACAGAAATGTTCCAACTAAAAATAACATGCATGACTGTCTCTCTTAGGGAATCTCTCATTTCAAAAAAATGTACCTACAAAAACACCATGCAGAGACTGAACTCTTCATTTAGGAATGAGGCTTCCCTAAATTTCCCCATTTTAGTGTAAAAGTGAAACTCTTCTAACTCTTCAATCCTATGGCTCATGCTTTTTCATCAGTGAGGATGAAGGGAAAGGAGACTGGAAGACAGCAGAGGGGAGAGGGAGCTAGGCCAAAACGTTTGTGAATAACTAAAGGAAAAAGTTCAAAGATCAAGGAAATTGGTTTAGAAATTTGTGGAGTCATTCCTGAACCAAATAGCCATTTCTTAGGATTGTGTGCTTTAAAATATATCTTTTTATGTTTACAAACACAATGAAAAAGCTTTCTGTTGAGATAAAGCAGATCACGAGCCGTGAGCCCGGCACACAGTAAGCACAGAATACGTGGTGGTTGTTTTCATTGCCATTATCCCCATGACACATCAAACCTCTTCTGTTTCATGATGGAAAAAATGGAAACACAGTCAAGGCACATATTTTAAATGGATGTTAACTCAAATTCAAGAACTAGATTTCCTACCCTGATGCCTAGTCCAGAGGTTGAAATATTACCGCAGAGAGTTTCAGAGGCTTGGGGCTTTGGGCTGAGTTATGGAAGAGTACATGGACAGCCTTTCCTCTCTGAGGTGGGTGCCTGCATTGGGCAACCAGCGGTGAGCTGGGAAAGATGGAAACACCGTAATGTAGTTCATCTCACCCGCCAAGAGCAGAGCCTAGAACAAACAGCACCAACAAAAACAAGCCTCTCTTCAGCCAAAGAGATGTTACAGGCCCATGGACGTTACTTATAGAAGAATATTTCATGTGGTCATTCGGTGACAATATTCTTATTTACGTTACAGTTTTTAGCAAGCTTGATCATTTGGTCTCTAAGCCAACAGCAAACCAAAGCAGTAAACTGAGGAGAAAAAAGGGTTTCTTTGCTCTCAGTTTCAACACACTGAGAGCAAAGAAAGAGAAAACTATTTTAAAAATTGACCCCAGAGTTCAGAAAAGGCGTATGGAAGCATTTAATGGGGGGAGGGGGTGTTGGTGGATAGTCTTGTAATAAGAACACCAGGCAAGTATTCCCACACCACTCTTGGTGGTCTGCAAAGTGATTTCGTGTGTATTTTATGTCAACACCAGCACAGTGAGGTAAGCAGAACTGTATACCTCAGAGGCATTTGCAGATGTGTCAGAGTGGCAGGCCATCCATTGTTGCCTGGATTTGAACAGGACCATTTGACTCTAAGATCACTGTGTTGTCTACCACCTACTCAACCTCCACACCAGACAAGGCCAATCTGCAGCTCAGGGCAGTCCAGACAGAGTAGCCAATTAACTCTCTCAAGTTACATTTTAGGAAGATTGCTGTCTAAAATAGATAAAAATCAAAGGTATAGCTCTTCAGAATGACTTATTCCTATGATGCGCAATATTTTCCAGACCTATAATCAAAGCATGAGTGCATTTACTAGACAAAATACCAGAAATGGAGACTGTCCCCGAAGAGCCAAGCTGTGTGACCACCAACCTTAGTTCCCAAAGATTCTAGAGACCCCATGTCTCCAAAGAACTTTTCTCTCTTTTATTTCTTATATTTGTTTGATAATGCAAATGGCAAATACACAGTTAAATCCCCGAATGATGGCACTGAAAATGACCCCTATAAAGTAGCACTCCCTTCTCTCCACAGAATGACCTTGGAAGACTTTTACTGGAGAATGTCGAGTAGCTTTCCAAGAGAGACATTTTCTGGCATGGGGACATGGAAAACTCTAGACTGTCCTGGCAGCACCTTAAAGCAAGTTTTCTCAGAACATGAGAGGCCAGGAAGGACTGGATCTTTCCAATCAGGGGTGATCTGTTAACCAATCAGATTTTTTTTTTAATGTTTTTGTTTTTGTTTTCTGTTGTCTTGTTTTTCTGTCTCTCATTCTCCCTCCCTCGCTGTGTCTCGCTCTGTCCCACTTGCTGTCTCTTCCCACGTGAACAGGTGAGAAGCCCCACCAATGCAGCATCTGTTGGCGCTCCTTCTCCTTAAAGGATTACCTTATCAAGCACATGGTGACACACACGGGAGTGAGGGCGTACCAGTGTAGTATCTGCAACAAGCGCTTCACCCAGAAGAGTTCCCTCAACGTGCACATGCGCCTCCACCGGGGCGAGAAGTCCTATGAGTGCTACATCTGCAAAAAGAAGTTCTCCCACAAGACCCTCCTGGAGCGACACGTGGCCCTGCACAGTGCCAGCAATGGGACCCCTCCCGCAGGCACACCCCCAGGGGCCCGAGCTGGCCCCCCAGGGGTGGTGGCCTGCACGGAGGGGACCACCTACGTCTGCTCCGTCTGTCCAGCAAAGTTTGACCAAATCGAGCAGTTCAACGACCACATGAGGATGCATGTGTCTGACGGATAAGTAGTATCTTTCTCTCTTTCTTATGAACAAAACAAAACAACAAAAAAGAAACAAACGAAAAAAAGCTATGGCACTAGAATTTAAGAAATGTTTTGGTTTCGTTTTTACTTTCTGTTTTTGTTTTTGTTTCGTTTCATTTTGTACTACATGAAGAACTGTTTTTGCCTGCTGGTACATTACATTTCGGAGGCTCAGGGGAATAATAGTTCTCCCAGTCTCCCTCGGATGGTGGCCTTAAGGCCTGGTAGTGCTTCAGGAGGTCCACTGGTTGGATCTCTAGCTACTGGCCTCTAAATACAACCCTTCTTTACAAAAAAATCTTTAAAAAAAAAAGTAAAAAAAAAAATTTTCTTTTTTCACTTGTGAAGAGCACTACAAAAATATATAACAAAATCTAAAAGGCCTACTGTCTTTAAGTACACCGCTTGCAGTGTTTCAGTGGACATTTTCACAATTCTGGCCGCTTGGACTTCACAGTAACCAGTTAAAACTGTGGAATATCACTTTCTGGTTGAAAACCCAGAGGAAAGGCCCTGCTGTTTTCCACCCCCAACGTTGTCTGATTTCATGCAAGGGCTGTGGGTGTGGGAAGGGGCGTGGGTTTGGTGGTGTGGGAAAGGCAGACGGCAGGCTTCTCCCCCAGATTCTGCTTGGTCCACACACCCTGGCCCACCTCCTCCATGCCCCCCCCCTTTCAGCAGAAGCCAGGAAGACTTGGACAAGCATCAAGCAACAGTGGCTATCGTATTTATTCAGTGTCTTCGCTGAGCCCCAGACTCAGCACAATCAAGAGGGACTTTCATGAAAGGCAGGAATGCAGATAAGACAAAGATATCAGAGGTTTGCACCTACGTTTCTAGGTACAAGAGAAGGATTATTTCCAACAATCTTTGCAAAAAACAAAAACAAACAAAAAAAAGTGTCAGGATATATTCTTGTGGAAGAGAAAAAGAAAGAGAAATGGAGGGGGGGAAATAATAAAAAGTTCTTGAGGCTTTTTTAATTCAAAATTTTATAGAGGGGCAAAAGTGACGTTTACCAGATAGAATGCTGATTTTTTTAATATATTTACAACAGTATTTGTGTAAAAAAAAAAACAAAAAAAGTGAGATTGTTAAAAGTAATTTTTTTTTTCATTTTGGTTTTGCATACACTGCCACCAATCCCTTCTCTTTTATTTTATTTCACACACATATATATATTTTTTGGTAAGTCAAGACTGTTAAGGTTAGCGATACTGCTTCCAGATAGAAAGAATAAAAGGCAATTAAAGTTATATTTGAAAGAGAGGAAGGATATTTTCTTCATATTTTTTTAAATTTTTCTTAATTTTTATTATTTTAAGTATTGCCTGGGTTGATGAGGGCCTCTGGCCAGCCCATCCCTGCTGTAATTTGAACTGCTGCTTTGTATTTTGATATGTAGTCTTTCGACTTTTAGCACGCTTATGTTGCTCCACTGAATATTTTTTTCAACTGATTCATCTAGAATTCTGTTCTTTTTCATGGGAGGGACTTTATCTTTCAGAAACAGATTTCTTGCTTCTCTGAAAGTTCATTGAGATCTTATGATTCTAGAATTTCTATTGACTTTACCTTTTTTTCTTTGATGAAACACTAGTAGTCTAGAGGTCTTGACAAAAGTGTTCTTTCCTTTTGTGGTCAGCCGGGAGGAGCAGTTCACAAAACTCTACTGTCCCTCCTCACCCTTCGCAACTACAGAGAGCGGCGTTATCAGAAGCCTGTTGCAGGTCAGATGCCTCGATGCCGAAATTACTTTCTTCCTTTCAAAGATCACCTTCTGTTTCCACCATGGTTGAGAGGGCTAAGTAAGATGATTATTCTTTAGATGATTTATTAACCCTTGCTTGTTGGTAAGGTTTTAAAGAAACTAACAAAAATCTCCCAGATGCCAACGTCCACCCTTCAAAAGGCCACCAATTCACTGCGTCATCTTAGATGCCACTCTCTCTTCCTAGTTTGGATTTCTCTCCTCGGTCCTGATCAAGGTATCAGAATAGAGATTTTTCCATTATAGACAGTGTCCTAACGGGATTCCAACTCAAATATCGGAATTTTTAAACCTAATGAAAACTCCAAAGGTGATTTCATTGCTGGGCATATTTTAACACACTTAAGGGGAAAGGTAAATCTTTAAACAAAACAGAAACACTAAACTACAGTTTAAAAAGAAAAAAAGAAGGAAAGAAAGTATTTCAGTTTCAAAATTACTTTGCATTTTAATTTAATTTTCCTATCAGCAACTTATTTACAAAAACTGTGTGACAAATGAGGAGAAATCTTCCAAGGAAAGCAACTGTATAATAACTAAAGTGGTTTTACTCATACATTTTAGGATTGGTTAACTTGTATCTTTTCCATAAGTTCTTGGTGATGTTTAGTAGGGTTAGTGCGACTGGACTGGCGTATATGTGAGTTTCATTTGGTCCTGTGGTCCTTCATTCAGTAAATATTTTGCTAGTAGTTTTAATGTAGACTTGGATGATTAATTGACCTTTAAGTATCACCCATCGTGATTTCTAAGAGGAGTCCTACTAAAAACTATCTGTCCAAAATTGACCTGTTTTAAAAGCTAGTGGGAAACAGCTTCAGAAACAAGAAATAGTCCATTTTCTCTTGCTTTTTGAAATAGCTATCTTAAGTAAGACTCCAGTATTTCCACTTACTACCAACAGAGGGAGCATTAGTTAATTAACCATGGCCTAGAATTTTGATATTTTGAAAAACAAGTCATTCAACCCATGATGTAAAACAGAAGAAATTGACATTAAAAAAAATATCTTTTTAATCTAGAGGAAAATGACATGAAATCACTCAACATGTGTTACAAATGGAAGAAGGCCAAAAGCCACTTTAAAGTATTTTGAATTATTGGACAGTAGCTTGTTTAAAATAGTGGCCTTACACAAACCTTAGCAAAGTAGACAGATGTTATAGGACCTCCAGAAACGTGATCTTGGGTGGCAGTATGGGCCACATTTAGCTATCGGCTTGTCAAATCTGAGGGAGAGTCATTTGCCTTAGTGCTGATTTGCCATGTAAAAAACTAAGCAATTGGGTTAAAATTTACCTTTTGTTATAGAACACGTGGGGAAAAAAATACCAGTTGGGTTTAAACCCTAATATTCATCCTTTCCCTTCAAATGAAGTATCTCTTTTTTGTAAATGTTAGAGGACTCCCAAAGAATTCCTGGTGAGGTGACGTAATCATTATAACAATATGGACTATCTAAGTTTGCATAGCAGTAGACTTTTTCTTACTGTGTGTCTGTTCCTCCCAAATATCTCATAGTCCAAAATAGTTGACAGACTGTTCTCTGGAGAAAGGAAGCAGCTAGATTGGAGTGGAAGATCTAAGCTGGGGAGCAGTGCACTTGCTGTGGGACCTTACTCCATGTTCTGGCCTCTGAAAGGGCTGCTTCCAAACTGACCTACATTTTAGGAAATAAACTAGTCCGTGCCTATTTCAAAAGGATAGAGTTGCTTTTAGTTTGTCAATCCTTCTTTTCAAATTAAATAATCACCAACATCTTAGGAAAGGGGAAACATTTTGCTTCAAGAATAGAAGATGAGCATAGATTCTTTTATTCTTTTAGTTTCAAATCCAACAATCTTCTTACATTTGGAACTTTATGCTAGGATGCTATGAGTGCTTAAAAAAAAAAAAAAAAAAAACTTCAGTAGCCAGGAAAAAAAAAAATAGATGAAATGGAAGCAAGTGTTCCAGATTTAAGACCTCTTAGGGTGAGTGCAGGGAACAAGAACTGGTATGGAAAAGTACTCTTTTTTCTTTCTTTTTTTTTTTTTTAGCAATTTATGACTTAAAACTGGATTAGCTGGACAAAGGAAAGGAAAAAGTCAAAGGGGAACGTTTATCTCTAGACAGTTAGATACAGTTTATGAAAAATAAAATTTTCTAGCACTAAAACATCAGTAGCATCTTAGCGGAGTGGGCAAGTTTTCCCCTATTGATATAATAAATGCCAAAATTTGTACCCCCCCCAAAGCCCCAAATGTGTAAAATAGAGCCCAAAAGAAGGAAGGAATTGAGACATATGGATCTGATACAAATCTACACATGGGAAAAGATTGAGAAACAAGCCAGGCCAAAAAAGACTCTGAAACGAAAGTCTCTATATCAAAATATTTCTTATTATACAGTTTGAGTTGTAAACTTTAGCTTCTAATAACAGTTTTATAGACTTTTTCTTCCCCAAATTCCTAATGCTTTGAATCTGTTTGTGCCGTGAGTAAGCGTGGTGAATACTTTCCTGCTGTTGTTCAGGCTGAAGCCCATTCCTTCTTCCTAGGCATCTTGGGGGTCACAGTAGCTCCTGGCCTTAGAAGGAAAGACTTGAATTTGCCGTGTTTAAAAGTCACAGGGATTTTATTTTGTATCAGCTCAACATTCTGTAAGGACCAAGAAAACTTCTTCCAACTCATGAACAGTTAGAATTTGTGCATTGTGATATGAAAAGAGAAAAGGTTTCCTCTGGGTGTGTTAAGTTTCATGTTAGTCCTAAAGCCTTCACCTACCTGTACCCCATCATATAAGCACACCAACAGTATGTGCCCAGTCCAGGCCTCTAATCAGTGTTTTCCCTCAGCACAGAAGTTGAAAGTGAGGTGTGCTTCGTATAAAACCCCTCAGAGCCCCGAGAGAACATAATAAGGGTCACGTCGCATCCTCGGTGTGGCTCCTCCAGAATGTTCCCAATACCTGCTGCCCTGAGGACAGGGGGCAGTGAGGTAGATCTGGCCAGGATTCCCACTAGCTATGCCCATTTTGGAGCCTTCCTCTATTGTTCTAGAAGATGTCATTTAATCAGTCGGGGCTGGGAGCAGAGTATGTGTGACTGCAGCAAAGGTATCAGATAACCACATCAGGTCTGCATCTGCTACAGCCAGTGCGCTGCCGCAGCAAAAAAGAGGCAAAACGAAGGCTCAAGGGAGGAGTAGGCACCACCTGAGATGCCCCTGGGACTTAGGAGAAGGGAGAGTGCCCTTTCTGTTGTGACCTGACTCTTAAAAGAAATCTTCTGAAAGAATAATATAGTCATGAGTTGAAGTCCAGGGTAGTGGGAGCCCTGGCGAAGGGAACAGGACTGCGAAACGTATTCAGCACCAATAATGCGAAGCCAGAAAGCATCCAATCGCAACACTAGGAGGTTTGGCAAGAGGCATTTAGAGAAAGCTCTGGGTTTTTCCGTGGGTAGGGTCGACAGACTTTTCAGTGATTTCTGGCTCTGAGAAACCTCTTTACTAACTATAAAAGAACTTTATTTAAATGGCCAATTTTGTCCCCCAGAGAAAGAAATTTTATAAAGAGAAAAATAGGACACTAAAGACAGAACCATGGGACTTGGTGTCGAACAAAAGGAAGGGTGCACTAGAATTTCAATCGACTCCCTGATTCCACAGAAGTGCCGGGCAACCCAGTGCCCCATGGCTTGCGGTGTGCGAGGAGGGCTCCTGAGCTGAGCCGGGCTCCCCGAGGCTAGATGCGCCCTCACGGTGGTCCGGTAGCAGCTGCTTTCGCTTCTGTGTTCTCGTGAAAAAAGGGGCCGTTCTCTTAGGTGCCCAGGAAATAGATGACATGGGACAAACTTTCAAAAGCAATCTCTACCCTGGGGCTCAGGCCACATATGGAGACAGAAAAGGGGCACAGAGGGGCTCTTGCTCCAGAGAGAATATTTTCAGATTCACAACAGCTGTTTGTGTAGGGTTGCCATTTCTGATACTGCTTAAACCTCCCCAAGTAGGAAAGCTGTGGTGACTCAGTGTTCCTGTAAACGCAGAGCCTGGAAATTACTAACCCAAAGCATCATTTCTAACGCTAGGTGCTAAGATGATTAGCCTGACCAAAACACCCCAGAGAACTTGGTAAGTCTCTGAATATTTTTTCTCCTGGGACACCAAATCCATAGTGGTCAGTGGTGCGTGTTAACAGATCCCAGAAAATGGCATGGAACGCTAGGGTTCCTCTGAATTCTTTTTAGGGTGAAGAGGTAGAAGATGAGGACTGCAGTGTGCGTTCTTTTTCAGAACTATGTATTTCACTGAACGAGGGGTAGAAATGCCCTGGGTTGAAACAAGAAACATCATTTTCCACACCGCTGACCAAAAATGCTTGGTTTCCGGTGATTCTTCAGGCCCAGCCTGTTGCTCCAAAAACTGAATAATTTCAGACTAAATCTTATCTGAAGTGACCTCAGTTAAGGTATTTTCACAGGAAGCCACTTATAGGAAAGAGTTACTGCCTTAAGTCAGAAAGCCCAGGGAAGAGAACAGAAGATAGATGGGACGGGTGTGAAGACGTGGACACTTCTTGCTTTTTTATGGTTGCATTATTACAAAAATGAGCCCTATTCATGACTGAAGACTATGGAAACAGTGACTTTAGGGGGAGGCACCAAACTTGTCAGGAACTGGCTGCCCTCAGGAAGTGGCTGCTATTTCCTATCCTATTTCAGTGACATAGGTCTGGGCTGGATGTAAAATAGACATCCTATTAGCTAAAGAGCGAGTCCCATAAGACACAATCACAGGTGCCTAAACTGCTAGGTTGAATCATTTCCTTAACAGGGAGCTTTCTTTTCCTGTACAGTGTGTACCTCTAAACTTTTTTTTTCTCAATTCCAGTGAGCATCTGGGTTATCTGGTGGTTCTTTGTTTAAATGCAAACTCACAACTTTCAAGTCTTCAATGATGGAGCACGATCTGCAGATCATAGGGAAAATCTAGCCGCAGTTATTGGAGTCCTGGCTTTTGAGATACCTAATTAGGGTATAAAAAGTCCCTAACTAGCCCTCTTTCAAATTCAGAGGTTTCCTTGATTCAAAATGCTTCAATGAGGTTCTAACCCAAGGAAGGAAAAAAAAAAAAAATTAACCCCATAGGAGACATCTGTTTCTACTACCGTTGCAACAGAAGTTTGTTGTTGCCCAGCAGAATCATTGCAATTTATATGTAGATTCTAGTAATGAAAGGGACTTAACCCATCTAGTATGTCACTAGTGCTTACCAATATGACTGTAATTGGGACTACATTATGCATGTACACACGCAGTGTGAGGTGCTCTCAGTACAAAACTGTTTCACATTCGTATTCCCTAGTGACAACAAGATAAAGTCTGGAATTTATAGTTAGTCAGAGGTCTCAGATATCTCATGTATCTGCTTCTGCTCTGTTGCCTTAGTTGGGTGCATTAGTGAGGTCCACTATCTGTGATGAGGCTTTAGGGCATTCTGAAGGAGCCCAACCATCAGTAATTCCTATGTACCCCTTTCATGAGAAACTTGAATATGCTTGTGTGGAGTAGAGTACACTTAACGAACTGCACTCCTATTGGATTTACTGACGTGTGTGTGGACATGCGTGTTTGCATGTGTACTTGCTGTGGTCTGGGAGTATGTGTGCACCTCAAACAAAGCACACACAGGCATAGGTCCTGGTGCATAGATACTGTTGCCTCTTCCCGCCATTGTGCTCAAGACTGGTGGCTCCCTTCCCAGGAAGCAGTCACCTGCCCACTCTGTTGCTTTTTGTAGCATTTCAGAGTTGGGAGACACAAAGGCAGCTTGTTGGATCCACAGCAAACCCACAGTGACAGGCTGCTTTCCTCCAGAAGAAGGTAAAACAGATGTACTCAACTGGCAAGTAGGTAAGAGGGAGCAGAAATGTGGGGCACCCCCTCTACCCAGGTTTCCTGTGCAGGAGCGGGCACCAAGGCCAGGCAGGCAAGGCCCATGCAAACTTTTGCCTGAGCCCTTCCATGGCTTAAAAGCCTCCATTCCTTTCCTCTATGCAACCCAGTGTGTGCACACAAACACCCACCCACTTGTAAGTTTGACTCCCAAACTAAAGCTTCCTAATCCTGCCTGCATCTGCAGGGAATCATCATCAATCACAAACTGTGTCTCCTGAAACCAGTGTGGCCTTTGCTGAAGTCTTTCCAGGAGTGGGTTGTTTACCATATCTAGCAAACCAATAGACTCTCAGAAGAATCGTTTTTGGTAATCTCTAAGAATTGATGGCTCTTGCCCATCTCGAACGTTAAAGTAGAATGCGCTCTAGTGGGCTATTCTGAACAAACGGACCTGGCTCTCATAGCTGACTTTGAAGGGTGGCCTGGAAACAGTCGGATTCAGTTTTCTCACTCCCACGCCCTTCTTTTACTAGACGGTTTCTTATTTTTTATGACACGTGGATTATTTCTGCTCCCTTACAGAATTCAGAGGACGTTTTCTTTCCTCTTCTATTTTGGTGACTTTTCCCCTCCCCAATTAAGTAAGGCTACTTACAGTTGCAATCTTTTCGTTGTTACTATTGTTTTAAATGTATATTGTCTTTCTGTATCCAAAAGAAGTCTGTGACTGTAACCATAGGTATTTCTTTTTACTGGAAAAAAATGAGTTGTTTTTTTTTTTTTAGTTAACAGTACTAGTGACTTTGTGGAAGAATATGAGTTACTATTTAGGTATGCTTACTTAAGTACAGTACACTACATTGCAGTATTTCTGAAAGCTAGAACATACACATTATATATAACAACTCTATATTGAAATATATATTACATTATATTCATTTTAACTTTTGAATCTGCCTATGATCACGAGTTGATTGAAATACTATTTCTTTGCATTTATCACCCATCACCAACCTGCTGCAGTTAATCTGGTGCATTTAATAATAATCATTACTGCTCTAGTTTGCTTTTTATATTATCAGCTTCAGTATTGTCTTTACAGGATTTTAGAATTTTTTTTAAGCTCAGACTTAGCAAATGTAGGAAAGTGAAAACTTTTTTTAAGAAAACATTTTTTTTTTGGTGTGGCCGACACAAAGAGGTTCATAGTCAAAGTGATCTTGTTTAGCTGACCCTCTCAATATCTGAAGAACAAAAGAAGTGCATATGAATGTATCTGTGATTTTCCCCTCTAGGACTGTCACTGTCTATATTTGTTTTTAAAAATATGACCAAGGGGCTTCTTAACCTCCATATGATCTGACCAACAATTACAGGCTGCATTTCAAAGGGCTGCTCATCTGAGAAGCAGAAGGCAGTTAAAGGCCTAGTTGTCCCAACCGTATTTTCAAATATCGATTTTTAATACTAGTTCTTTACTGACTACTTTCTGTTTCCAGTATGCTTACAGTTATTTTAACTAGTCTTCAGTGCTTCCCTGGAGGCAGCTTAGCAATATAATGTTCATTTTCCTAGGAGAGTCTTTTTAATAAAATCAGAATTTAGGAACTTTTTCACGACAGAGGCTGATAGAACTAGAACTCAGAAAATTATAGTTCATTTTTTAGTCTGCAGAATCCATAAAATAGTGGTTCTTGGGTATCTAGCCCTCAATATCTACATTTGTCTGTTAAGGTGGGAACTTGGTGCCTTTCTTCTCTACCCAGGCCATCACGGAAATGTCAGAAATCAGGCATCCTGTCTTCCTCTCAAGAAATTTTTTCAAATAGTATTTTTAGATAAAGAGCTCCTTCAGCTTCCCTCAGCTACTCAACCCAATGCCTGGAAAACCCCGCTGATGGATAAATTTCACATTCGTCCTGGGTGCCTGAGACCAGTTCTACATTCAGGACAGGCTGAAAACAGCTGTTCATCGTACTCAGCGTGAGAACCCTTCCCACACTGAACCACCATTAAGGCTTCTCAGTGTGAATAACACCAATTCCTTCCTTTCATCTTTTTGTTTTCAAATCCCACCCCATTCTGCTGTGCCCCTCCAACAAGCCCTCCCCCCTCCCCTTATCCAACTCCCCTCATCTCCAACTCCCCTCCTTGCCCTCTACTTGCGGTACTCATTAAGGAACTACCTGCTCTAATCTGCATGGAAGGGGCTAGTATTGAGTCTAAAAGCAAAAATATCCACCTGTTTCTCCAAAGTTTTCAACTAAATATATTTCTACTAGACCAACACCATAGTGAATTGAGGGTGAGGTGAGCTGTTCCTTTTCCAGTGATCACTTAATACCCAAATTGTATCAACTTCACTATTTTCCTCTTTCCTTCTCCTCACCCATTCTCTTTATTTCTTGTTTCTCTCTAAGACTTTAAATTACCTCTTCCTCTCCTCACTGCCTTAAGAACTCTAATCATCATGACACCTGAGGGCTCATTCCCCTCTCTTCCCCCAGCCCCGTTGTGAGTGTCCTTCTTTGAGCTTTATGTGGTGAAAGAGCACTGACATGAGTGAGTTCATCGGCATGAGACTCGTAGGCAGAGTGAAGCATGTCTTCACTGTACCTTCAGGTTTTAAAAGTTATCAATATTCTTTTGAGAGTGGGAGGACCTGAGTCACAGTTTTAAATGTCAGCCGTACTAGCTGAGGTCACAAATTCTTTTCACCTTTACATTTGGCCAAAGACAAAGGGAAAAATATTTTCTGGTTTTTTTTTTTCTCTTTTTTAAAATACCACAGTGTTCAAATTCCTGATATGAGTAGACCATTTCTGAGGGAGAAAAAAAATCATCAGTGATGACTCAACTCCTACTAATATTTAGCCAAGTGACATACAGGTACTTGACTTAGAGAAATTTAATGAAAGGAGTAACATTTCAGAATAATTTTGATACCTGCTCAAGCCCTAGTGAGCTCTTCTGAAACAGGTAAATCCACTTCTACTCAAAGGCATCACAGGAGATAATTAGGAAGAATTTTTTTCATGTCATGTTTTTGAAAAACGAATAATTGTTGATTGGTTTAGAACTTTAAGCAGTAATTTACTAAGGGATGAAAAGATCCATAAAGTTTCTAAAGTGTCTATTTTGCAACCACATATTTTTAAACATAAACTTAATATGTGCCTAAATAAAATAATAATAGGGCAGAACAGATATTTGAAGAGCCCAGTAACTAAGCATTCACCATGTAATTTGGTCATCGTGCTAGATCTCACTTCAGTGAGTTACAACTGTCTGGTTGCCAGAGCATTGTCCAAAAGACTCATACATTTCTGGGTCTCCCCCTTTACAGGATGCTTATGACGCAATCTGAACAACTCTGTAACACAGTCTTTCCTGACTCCCAGTCCAGCACTCTTACTGTGATACTGCTTTGGCTCTCGGCTCTTGGGTGGACCATTCTGTGGCATCTAGAGCACTACCTGATTTTGAGCACACAGGGGTATGCTTTCATTTCTTGCTTTACCCATTGACAAACAGAAGGAACATTAATGTCAGAAATGTAGTCTTAATTTGATTTGAGGCTTGACGCAGGTTTTACCTTAATCAAACCAATTTTTAACGTCTCACACCATAGAGAGCAATGAAATAACGAAGAGGTTCAAAAACCTCCCTGAGTCCCACATCTAGTAGGAAACCAACACTTCTTAAAGTCAGTGTGTATGTTGCTTAGGACTGTCATCTTCACTTAGCATGTTCTCCCCATCATTCTTATCTCCTTCTCTTTCTTTGTCCATTCTGACTCCCTCTTTTTTTTTTTTTTAAAGTACTCTTCATCTAAAGTAGTCCTCTCCTCAGGCATTGACTTCTGAAAGAACAAAAGACTCTCTTTTAAATCCTAAATGCCATCATTTAAAGTATAATGTGGAGGAGGAGTGGATCTGGTTCTGGAAGGTCCCATTTGGTCCAGTTTATCACAAAGATTCCTCCAGGATGCCTTCTTGACCTCGTTCCTTCTAGTGCTCCAAGAAGAGCTCTAACCCTGAGACCCCAGATTTCTCACCACAGCCTCTGCATTAGTCTAGATGAATGTTGAAATCCTGTTTAATATTCTGGAGAGTCCAGGATGTGAATTTCTTGTTACTTTCGAGCCTCCTGCTTTTCTAAGCTAACACAGGTAGCCCTAACGGTAAGTAATGCAGCAATATAACGGTCAGAAACATTGCAGTATACATTTGGGAGGACAGGAAGGGATTTTTTTTCTTTGCCTCCATAAAAAGCTTGCTTCCTACCCCGGCCCCACCCCCACAATGCATTTCAGAAGCTCTGCATCTCATTTTACAGATATATAGTTTTAGGATTTGCAGATAGAGCTTAGGAAATATTCTGAGATTGAGGCTGGTAGCAAACCAGTTTATTTTCTGCACTGGACTTTAGGACAAGTGTGCACGGATACAATTCCTTCAAAGAAAGTGAAACTAACATAGTAAAGCAAAGGGATAATACTTTTACACATTAAAACAGTTGTTTGCAATCTGTAAACCTTGATTTAAGCATAATTATTACTTTTTAGAAACCTGAAGCTGGAGGAATGTGTATTTTAGTGAAGTTTGTTTGTTGATTCGTTTGTTTCCCTTTTTCTCTTTCTTCTCAAGGCAGTAAAAAATTTTGATTCTTTAATTTGATACTGTCCATGGCCATAGGCGTCAGTCAAATCACTGCCCACCCTTACCTTACTCCTTTCCCTCTTAGAATGAAAAGCCTTCCATTCTATCATTAAGGAGTCTATTCTCCATGAAAATCTTATCTTCCTTTTCGAGTAGAATGTGAGAGCTTTGAGGAGAAAGAGTCTCTCTGCACTTTGAGGGTAGAATAGTTAAAATAAAAGCTATTCCTTGAAAAAGAAACCCCATTTACCTAAACTTTACAAGTATGAGGCCTAAGGATGGGAATTGACTGCGGATGAAGTTCATGAAATTTCACACTACAAATCCTTATTGTCTCCTCAAATGTTTGAAATAAGGCTGAGGATAGACTAATGTAATGAAAATCCTCTTTGGATGTTTCTTATTGATATAGGACAGGATCACCAGAAAAGAAAAAGAAAGGATAGTACTAAAATGCCAGAATCAGTTGATCTGTGGATTGCTATAATTGTTCAGATTTCTGTTCTCTGCATTTCAAAACTGCATGTGTTCATGAGGCCTTAAATGGTGAAACACCGCTCCTCCATTGCCTGTCATCTCCCCAACCTGGCACTGGAGGTGACAGTCACAGAGGGAGATTGGCATTGCCAGTACTTCACCCATCCATACTCTCACCACCACAAAAGAAAGAAAAACCAAATTAGAAACTTTAAAAAAAAGAGGAAATTGTAGTGCTTCATTTGAAAGCATACTGTTTTCAACTCAATTCAATTTACAGATAGCCTGACAACCTTTTTATAACCTGGTTTTTATGCTATAATTTGCATTCTTAGCTGAATCTTTAAAATAACTGCAATTTCAATTAAGTGAACAGAGGAAAAGCAAAGAGGGGAAACAGGACAATGTGATGGGACTAAATTTGATACAGTTCTGGATTCCTAAAGCCAGTTCTCAGGGTTAGCAGGGAAAGTCAGCACCACTCGCCCTTTGCCATTTTTGCCCATTCTCACCAGTATAGGCCTAAGAATTAGTAAAATAACCTCACTTCTTTGTGATTTAAGACTTCTCTTTTCTTTCTTTATTTTTTGGCTGTGTTGGGTCTTCATTTCTGTGCGAGGGCTTTCTCTAGTTGTGGCAAGCAGGGGCCAC